CCCCTGTAGCTCCACCACTACCAAAACCTTGTCAGGCAAACCCAATACATTTTTTAATAGCTCTTTTCTAATGAGGCACTGCTACTGCAGTGAGTGCCTGTACTGCTGGTTTCTGATAGAGATGTATGGATTGTTTTTCTCACTGAATAAATTTCAAAATGTTTGTCTCTAGATTGTCAGATAGAGATGGAAAAAATACCAATTTTTAATTCTGAAGTAAATGTTCTATTACTGAAGAAATACAAATCTAAAAGGAATTTTAGAGATAGATCAAGAACACAGAAATCAAATATACCATTAGCAATTTTACAGCTTTATTCATTAGCAGAGTTGCTTTTTGGAGGAGGAAAAAAAAAGGCATAATGACTTCAGCATCTGGATTCTGATCATGCGACACTGTTCAAAGCATGTGGTATGCACTGCTCCAGGTTTTTATAGTGGAAACTTCTGATGATAAGCAGGCAGTTTTTTTAATGTGTCTGGTTACTCCTGGAGGAAGAAATGCTGGACAGTGTGGCTCACAGTAAAGTTGTACAACTGTTTCATATGTTTGCTTTCAGCTATGAGATTTTGTAATTGTCCTTGCCATGTGTGCTGGTTATCTGAATATAGAACAGCCAGTTTTGGAATAGAAGGGAGAAATGAGGAAGCTAGCATCAGCAGTTTTCATGTCCCAAGCACCACAGCTTAGACTGTTTTGAGATGATGCAGTCGCTGCATTGGTTTCTTTCCGGCATGCCACCTCAACATAAACCAGCTCAGACGGAAATAGCTGATGAAAAATCTTGCATCTGTAATGCTCACATATTCCTGAACAGAACGATAGTCCCAGAGATGTTTATAAGAGACGACACTGTGGAAAGTCTAGTCCGTAAGTGAGATGAATGGCTGTGAAATAAACTGCCATGAGCAGAGCCTGCTGGAGTCCAGCTGCTGTGCTGCCAGGGCCTTGTGACTGGGAGCTCTGCTCGGAGGGGCCGGCAGCTGCCCACGCTGCCCCCTCGCCAGCTGGCACACGGCCTCCAGCTCTGCCGGGCGCTGTGCCACTGGCAGCGTGGGCTCCAGATTCAGTCCTGGGCAAGTCGTGCCGTAGGTTACCCTGTTAACCCCTGAGAAGGTT